CTTGAACCTGGGAGGCAGAGGTTGCAGTGAGCCGAGATCATGCCACTGCACTCCAGCCTGGTGATAGAATGAGACTCCATCTCAAAACAAAACAAAACAAAAGCCTGTCCCCAATCCCCTTGGGGAGGTGGATTTGAAGTTCTTTCTCCTCCCTCGGTGGCCCTGCATTAAGTAAACCTGTTCCTCTGCTGTGACCAGATGTCTCCATGTGCTGACTTGCTTCACCCACCGGACAACAAACCTATTAGGGTTACAAAGTCATTCATAGCGGCTGAGACAAGGAGTCCACTATGATAACATTTTTTTTTTTTTTTTTGAAACAGTCTTGCTTTGTTGCGCAGGAGATCTCAGATCACTGCAAACTCCGCCTCCCAGGTTCAAGTGATTCTCCTGCCTCAGCCTCCTGAACAGCTGAGATTACAGGCACCTGGCACCACACCTGGGTAATTTTTATATTTTTAATAATGACGGGGTTTCACCATGTTAGCCAGCTGGTCTTGAACTCCTGACCTCAGGTGATCTGCCCACCTCAGCTGCCCAAAGTGCTGGGATTACAGGTGTGAGCCACCGTGCCCGGCACATATATAATACATATATAAACGGGACAGAGTCTCACTCTGTTACCCAGGCTGGAGTGCAACGGCATGATCTTTGCTCAACTGCAACCTCTGCCTCCCAGGTTTAAGTAATTCTCCTGTCTCAGCCTCCCGAATAGCTGAGTAGCTGGGATTACAGGCATGTGACCCCACGCCCGGCTAATTTTTGCATTTTTAGTAGAGTCAGGGTTTTACCATGTTGGCCAGGCTGGTCTCAAACTCCTGACCTCAGGTGATCCACCTGCGTCGGCCTCCTAAAGGACTGAGATTACAGGCGTGAGCCGCCGCCCCGGCCTTATGATAACGTTTTATCTCCTACAGAGCTTCTTGTTTTCCCTGGAATTTTCTGTTTGTTTCTCATTTACTTAGTTTTCAATAAATTTATCGCAAATGTAGCCCCAAAATTTTCGCCAGTTCTCTAATGCTCCTTGAACTCAACAGGTGTTCTGTGACTGTCCCCTTTCTGGAGAAGCTGTCCAGAGCCTTGTCCCCACCCCCAATGGAGTCCCCTAGTGAACACCGTCTCTTGGACCCTACGTCTTCCTATTGAAACTGCCCTTGCAAAATTATGACAGTAAGACAAATCTGACATAACTGACCCCATCCTGCTTTGGACCTCCAAGCTGTCCCTGCTCATTCCTGGGCACAGGCCAAGCTGACTGGGGGAGGAATTTAAAGTTTCACTTGTAACAAGAACAATAGTCCCTCCCTGAAACCACTCTCAGCCGGACGTAGTTGCTCACGCCTGCAATCCCAGCACTTTGGAAGGCCGAGGCAGGCAAATCACCAGGTCAGGAGTTGAGACCAGCCTGGCCAACATAGTGAAACCTCTACTAAAAATACAAAAATTAGGCCGTGTGAGGTGGCTCACACCCGTAATCCCAGCACTTTGGGAGGTCAAGGCAGGTGGATCACGATGTCAGAAGTTGGAGACCAGCCTGGTCAATATGGTGAAACCCCGCCTCTACTAAAATACAAAAAATTAGCCGGGCGTGGGGGCACGTGCCTGTAGTCCCAGCTACTCAGGAGGTGAGGCAGGCAGATAGCTTGAACCTGGGAGGCAGAGGTTTCAGTGAGCTGAGACTGTGCCACTGCACTCCCAACTGGGAGACAGAGTGAGCCTCTGTCTCAAAAATAACTAACTAAATAAATAAAAATACAAAAATTAACTGGGTATGGTGGCATGAGCCTGTAATCCCAGCTACTTGGGAGGCTGAGGCAGGAGAATCACTTGAACCTGGGAGGTGTAGGTTGCAGTGATCCGAGATTGCACCACTGCACTCCAGCCTGGGAGACAGTGCAAGACTCCGTCTCAAAAAAAAAAAAAATATGTATATATATATATATATATATATACATATAATAGATATATATAAATCTTTTCTGGGCGCTTGGGGCTCACTTTCATTCAGTACTACATTTTTCAGTTCTGGGAAATTGGGAAATTTTCTTGTGTTATTACTACTATGTATATATTTTTTGAGGCGGAATCTTACTCTGTCACCCAGGCTGGAGTGCAATACCATGAACATGGCTCACTGCAACCTTGAGACCTCCTGGGCTCAAGCAATCCTCCCACCTCAGCCTGCCAAGTAGCTGGAACTATAGGTGCTTGCCCCCGTGCCTGGCTAATCTTTATAAAAAAAAACCTTTTTTTTTTTTTTTTTTTTTGAGAGGGAGTTTCGCTCTTGTTACCCAGGCTGGAGTGCAATGGCGGGATCTCGGCTCACCGCAACCTCCGCCTCCTGGGTTCAGGCAATTCTCCTGCCTCAGCCTCCTTAGTAGCTGGGATTACAGGCACGCGCCACCATGCCCAGCTAATTTTTTGTATTTTTAGTAGAGACGGGGTTTCACCGTGTTGACCAGGATGGTCTCGATCTCTTGACCTCGTGATCCACCCGCCTCGGCCTCCCAAAGTGCTGGGATTACAGGCGTGAGCCACCGCGCCCGGCAAAACCTTTTTTTTTTTAGACGGAATCTCACTCTGTCACCCGGGCTGGAGTGCAGTGGCACGATCTCAGCTCACTGCAACCTCTGCCTTCCAGGTTCAATTGATTCTCCTGCCTCAGCCTCCTGAGTAGCTGGGATTACAGGCACGCGCCACCACACATGGCTAATTTTTTTGTATTTTTAGTAGAGACACGGGGTATCACCATGTTGGTCAGGCTGGTCTCGAACTCCTGACCTCGTGATCCACTCGCCTCGGCCTCTCAAAATGCTGGGATTACAGGCATAAGCCACAGCACCTGGCCTACAAAAATTTTATTTTTGCAGAGACAAGATCTTGCTATGTTGCCCAGGCTGGTCTTGAACTCCTGGTCTCATGTGATCCACCTGCCTCAGCCTCCCAGCCTCCTGGGATTACAGGTGGGAGTCACTACACTCAGCCAGAGTCCCTCCCAGTCTCTAAAAGAAAATAATAATGGTAATAATAATGAGGCCAGGAATGGTGGTTCACACCTGTAATCCCAGTACTTTGGGAGGCTGAGGCAGGAGGATCACTTCGGCTCAGGAGTTCGAGACCAGCCTGGGCAACACAGGGAGACCCCCATCTCTACAACAAACAAAAACAAAAATAAAGGGAATTAAAAAAGAAAACACAGGAATCCATGAGGATAGAGTGTGTGAAAGAGGAAGGAGCAGCCCCAAAGTTCGAGAAGCTGGAAGAACAGGTCAACAGGTGTGGAACTAACTGTCTGGAAAGCAACTCCTAAGCCTGCAGTAGAATCAGGAATTGGTGGCACCAGGTCCTTCTGGAGGTGTTAAAGAAATTAGGCAGCCTGAGCAACAGCAAGACCTCCCATTTCCTTTTTTTTTTTTTTTTTTTGAGGCGGAGTTTCACTCTTGTTACCCAGACTGGAGTGCAATGGCGGGATCTTGGCTCACCGCAACCTCCACCTCCTGGGTTCAAGAATTCTCCTGCCTCAGCCTCCCGAGTAGCTGGGATTACAGGCACACGCCACTATGCCCAGCTAATTTTTTGTATTTTTGGTAGAGACGGGGGTTTCACCGTGTTGACCAGGATGGTCTCGATCTCTTGACCTCGTGATCCACCCGCCTTGGCCTCCCACAGTGCTGGGATTACAGGCATGAGCCACCGCGCCCGGCCCAAGACCTCCCATTTGAACAGCAAGACTACAAAAAATAGAAACATAAAGGCTGGGCATGGTGGCTCCTGCCTGTAATCCCAGCACTTTGGGAGGCCAAGGTGGGCAGATCACTTGAGGTCAGGAGTTCAAGACCAGCTTGGCCAACATGGTGAAAGCTCATGTCTACTGAAAATACAAAACTTAGCCAGGCATGGTGGCACATGCCTGTAGCCCCAGCTACTCGGGAGGCCGAGGCAGGAGAATCACTTGTACCCAGGAGGCGGAGGTTGCAGTGAGCCGAGATTGCACCACTGCACTCCAGCCTGGGTGACAGAGTGAGACTCCATCTCATCAAAAATAAAAAGGTGAAAAATTAGCCAGACATGGTGACGTGTGCCTGTAGTCCCAACTACCTGGGAGGCTGACGGTTGGGGGACCGCTAGAGGCAAGGAGGTTGAAACTGCCATGACCTGTGATATCACACCACTGCACTCCAGCCTGGGTGACACACTGGGACCCTGTCTCTAAAAGAAAATAACAATAACAAAACCTAGCCAATCCCTATTCTCTATCCCCTAACCCTAGCAGAAACTTAGAGACATTCTTGGAGGGAGTAAAACTAGCTAGGCGTGGTGGTGCATACCTGTGGTCCCAGCTACTTGGGAGGCTGAGGTGGGAGGGTTGCATTGCTTGAGCCCAGGAAGTAGAGGCTGCAGTGAGCTATGGTTACAGCACTGTACAAAAGCCTGAGTAACAGAGCAAGATCCAAAAAAGAAAAAAAAAGGCAGGGGGTGAGGGGCAGAGCCAGGATTTCTTTCCAGGCCGCTGTTGCCCAGGTCCAACTCCTGGCTCCTGGAGCAGCCTGTCCTCCCTGCCTGGAATTCTGGACAGGCTGGGGTCATGGGGTCGATTCCCAGAATCCCAGAGTCAGGGAGGCTGGGGGCAGGGGCAGATCACTGGACAAACAGATCAAAGGTGAGACCAGCGTGGGGCCAAAGACCAGGCCAGGCCCACTGGACGAGCACACCATGAGGTAGGTGGGCACCCGCAGCCTCCCTGCAGGGTATGGGGTGGGAGCACAGGCCTGGGCCCTCACCCCCCTGCCCTGCCCGCAGGCTGCTGACCCTCCTGGGTCTGCTGTGTGGCTCAGTGGCCACCCCCTTGGGCCCGAAGTGGCCTGAGCCTGTGTTTGGGCGCCTGGTGTCCCCTGGCTTCCCAAGGGAGTATGCCAATGACCAGGAGCGACGCTGGACCCTGACCGCACCCCCCGGCTACCGCCTGCGCCTCTACTTTACCCACTTCGACCTGGAGCTCTCCCACCTCTGCGAGTACGACTTTGTCAAGGTGCTGTCAGGGCATGAGGGCAGGGGTCTCTCAGGGTCGGGGGGGTCCCCAAGGGGTAGCCAGGGTTTGGGGACACCAGGGAGCAGGGGCCAGCCTTGGCCAGGAGGGAGATCAGGCCTGGGTCTTGCCTTCCCTCCCTGTGACACCTGACCCCACAGCTGAGCTCGGGGGCCAAGGTGCTGGCCACGCTGTGCGGGCGGGAGAGCACGGACACGGAGCGGGCCCCCGGCAATGACACATTCTACTCGACGGGCCCCAGCCTGGATGTCACTTTCCGCTCTGACTACTCCAACGAGAAGCCGTTCACGGGGTTCGAGGCCTTCTACGCTGCCGAGGGTGAGCCAAGAGGAAGCCTGCGGCATCTCAGCCTGTGCAGCTGGCTGTGGGGGTAACGCTGTCTTCGGCCAGGCAGCCCAGCCTTTGGTCTCCCCAACTCCCCTGGGGCGGGGCTGCCATCATCTGCAATACACAGACCAACAGAGCCGTGACCTCCAGGCACACGGGCTGAGCCCCAGCTCTGAGCCAAGGACCTGAGGAGAGCATTGCCTCAAGTGGCGCAGGGGCTGGCTGGGTGCAGTGGCTTATGCCTGTCATCCCAGCACTTTGGGAGGTCAAGGCAGGCTGATCACTTGAGGACAGGAGTTGAAGACCAGCCTGGGCAATATGGCAAAACTCCGCCTTCACTAAGAATACAAAAATTAGCCGGTGTGGTGGCATGTGCCTGCAGTTACAGCTGCTCAGGAGGTTGAGGCAGGAGAATTGCTTGAACTCAGGAGGCAGAGGCTGCAGTGAGCTGAGATTGCACCACTGTACTCCAGCCTGGGTGACAAAGTGAGACTCTGTCTCAAAACAAAAACGTGGCAGGGGCTGAGCGCCCCATTTAAAGCAGAGAAAGTGGGTCCCTTCCTGCGGGAGTGCTGCGGGGATGCTGGAGTTCAGATCCCATTCCCTGCAGAGACCAGCTGTGTGACCTCGGGCAAGTGGCACAACTTCTCTGCTCCTTAGGGGGCTGCCGCAAGGTTCAGTGCCTTAGCATGGGTCCGAGTTTCACTGCCTCCCCTTACTAGCTTGGTGGCCTTGGCTGGACACCGAACCTCCTGCTGGAGAGGTGCTGTTGGCTAGGTATGGTGGCTCACACCTGTAATCCCAGCACTTTAGGAGGCCGAGGCAGATGGATAACGAGGTCAGGAGTTCGAGACCAGCCTGGCCAATATGGTGAAACCCCGTCTCTACTGAAAAAATTAGCAGGGCGTGGTGGCATGCACCCGTAATCCCAGCTACTTGGGAGGCTGAGGCAGGATCATGCCATTGCACTCAGCCTGGGTGACAGAGTGAGGCTTTGTCTCAAAACACAAAAAACAAAAACAACAACAAACAGAGGTGCTGATTGCATCTTCCTCCCAGTGCTCTGGGGAGCCTACAGCGACCTAGGCCTGTAAGGTGCTTGGCCGGACACCGGTCCCCAACCCAGACAGGAAGAGGCCTCCTCTGAGGTCCGCTCTGAGGTCACGGGTCTCCTGGGAGGAGGCCAGGCTGGATCCCCCTCCTTCCCTCCTGACGGCCTCTGCCTGGCCCTGCCTCTCCTCCAGACATCGACGAGTGCCAGCTGGCTCCGGGAGAGGCACCTGCCTGTGACCACCACTGCCACAACCACCTGGGCGGCTTCTACTGCTCCTGCCGCGCAGGCTACGTCCTGCACCGGAACAAGCGCACCTGCTCAGGTGAGGGAGGCGCCGGGCCCAACGCACCCTCCCCTGGACACACCCAGCTCCTCAGGGCCATTGCTGCTCCGCCCAGGGCTGTGGAGGGCCTGGGCCCTGGACACTGGGTGCTTCTAGGCACCCCCCCAGCTTCCCTTCTCAGCCCTGCCTGTCCTCCCACCAGCCAGGCCCATTCCCAGTGCCACCCTCCCGAGCGACTGGGGGGAACTCTAACACTCCCCCGTGTACCTGGCCCCGCCTGGGCTCTGGGAACACCTCCCGCAGCCACTTCCCCCCTCGAACAGCCGTAGCCAGCTCCTGGGGTGGGAGAGTCAGGGGGACCTTGGCCTGGTTCCTCAGGACTGCACCCCTGCACCGTGGGACCGGCCAGTGCTCTGGGGTGTGGGCGGCACCCCTGCTGGCGCTGACCCTGCCCCCCAACTCGGTGTCTCCCTCTCGGTGTCTCTCCTTGTTTCTCGATGTCTCTTCCAGAGCAGAGCCTCTAGCCTCCCCTGGAGCTCCGGCCTGCCCAGCAGGTCAGAAGCCAGAGCCAGCCTGCTGGCCTCAGCAGGTCGGGCCGAGATGGCTGCGCCCCAACTCCCATTCACCCCCCACGGATCCAATAATAAACCTGGCTCCGCCCCCCCTGCTGCCACGTGTCTCTGGGGGGGGGGGGTGGGGAGGAGGCAGGGTGCGCGCCTCTGCCTACCCTCCTCCCAGCCTGAGGAACCCCAGGTCTGTGGGCGCCCCCTCCAGGGGGCCCTGGCTCCTTGGTCGGAAGGTCTTGCTTTCACCCTACGTTTTGAAGATGGGGCACTGAGGCCCAGAGAGGGGCAGGGTCTGGTCACCAGAGGCTGAGCCTGGAGTAATCTTGAACCACCCCCATTCAGGGTGTGGCCTGGAGGAGTCCGACCCAGAGAGGAGACTCCCTGGGAGGTATTCATTGAGGGGGGCAATCTGGACCCCCCAAATCCAGGGGGGTCCCACTGCCCCAAAGGGCACAGCCACAGGGAAAAAGGCAGGCAATGTTGGGGCTCCTCACTTCCTAGGGGCCTCACAGCTCAAATGCCCCCCACTGCAGCTGGGGGTGGGGTGATGGTTTGGGATGGGGACCGAGCCTTCCTTGAGGGATGGAGCGCAGCCCAGCGCCCCACCTGTGGCTGCAGCATCAGCTCTCCCAGGAGGAAAGAGAGGACCAGACTCAGTCAGGATCACTGTAGCCTTGAACTTCCAGGAGCTGCCTCCAGGGCAGGTGCCAGACCTGGGGGAGGGGAGTGACGAGCGGACCTTCTTCCAGATGGTTCTCCCAGGAACGCAGGGGGCTGGCTGGTCCTGGCTGGGTTTGGGTAGGAGACTCCTGATGAATAAACTTGGGAATCGCTGGGGTGGCTGTAGGGGAATTTGGGGGAGTACCGAAGGGGCCCCTAGGCTCGAGAAGACACTCCTCCCTTTTCCCACATTCCCAGGGATCAAGGAGAGTGTCCCTTCTTCCTTCTTCCTGTGTGCTCATCCGCGTCCGACCCCCACTTCCCCGGCAGAGCCTGGCAGAACTCATGTTCCAGCCCGTACCCTGGGGTTGTAACTCTGGCCCAGGACACCCCCACACTCTCTGGGGGTGTGCGTGAGGCCCCTACACTCTGTCCCAAGTGCTGCCTGTTTCAGTTAAAGCCTCAAAGCAAGAGAAACCCCCTCTCTAAGCTGTCCCTCAGCCATCGGGTGTGTCTTTGGTTTTTGGCTAGGCCTTGGAGGCTGGCAACCTGCAGGGCCCAGCTCAACTCAGGGATGGCGATGTCCCAGCCTCGTCCCTGCCCCGTGTCCTGCTCCCCAAGGCAGCCCACCCTGCTGTTGGTGTAAGGGCTGATGGAGGGCACGCCAAGTCACTCCCCTCCTTCCCTCTTTCCAGCCCTGTGCTGGGGCCAGGTCTTCACCCAGCGGTCTGGGGAGCTCAGCAGCCCTGAATACCCACAGCCTTACCCCAAACTCTCCAGTTGCACTTACAGCATCCACCTGGAGGAGGGGTTCAGTATCATCCTGGACTTTGTGGAGTCCTTCGATGTGGAGACGCACCCCGAAACCCTGTGTCCCTATGACTTCCTCAAGGTCTGGCTCCTGGGGCCCTCATCTTGTCCCAGATCCCCTCCTCAGCCCAACTGCTCCCCTACTTCCTACAGCACGGCCCCCACCATGTTCCCGTCCCCCTCAGCGACCCCTGCCTCTCCAGGAGCTCTATCTTTCTATCGGGGTCTAAGACTGGGGCCTTCTGAATGCAAGTGTGAGAGGGAGAGCGGGGAGGGGCACCCTGATCTGTCACCTGGGTTGGCCTCATTGGCTGTCCCTGAACTGAGAAGGTGGATCCCTAAGACCCCAGGCAGCAGCTCCCCAGCTTTCATGAACTTCTTTCTCAGATTCAAACAGACAGAGAGGAACAAGGCCCATTCTGTGGGAAGACATTGCCCCGCAGGATTGAAACAAAAAGCAACAACGTGACCATCACCTTTGTCACAGATGAGTCAGGCGACCACACAGGCTGGAAGATCCACTACACGAGCACAGGTGAGCAAGTGGGTCTCAGATCCCAGCTGGAAGTGCAAAGCTGCTCTCTCTCCAGGAGTGTCAAGGAGCTGCAGAGTGTGGGGCTCCTTCTGGGCCAAGACTAGGAAGGGACACCAGGTTTAGTGGTGTCTGAGGTCTGAGGCAGCAGCCCTCTAAGGGGAAGCACTAGCTGTCCCTCCCTCCGGCTGGCCACCCATCCATCCTTCCACTACTCATCCTTCCAGCCACCCATTCACCCACCTACTTACCCTTTTACTCACCCATCCTTCTATCCACTCGTCCTTCCAGGCATCTATCCATCCATCCATCCATCCATCCATCCATCCATCCTTTTGTCCACACAGCCATCCACCCATTCTTCTACCTACCCATCCTATCCATCCATCCTTCTATTCAGCCATCCTTCTACTTGCCCATCCTTTGTCCATCCATCCATCCATCCATCCATCCATCCATCCATCCATCCATCCTTCTGGCCATCCACCTGTCCATTCACTCATCCTTCTACTTATCTATTCTTCTATCATGAATCCATTCATCCTTCCAGCTATCCATCTATTCACCCACCTATCCTATCCACCCATTCTATTCATCCACCCATCCTTCTACACATCCTTCTATCCATCCATCCATCCATCCGCCTTTCTATCTGTCCCTCCACCTACCCATTCATCCTTCCATCCACCCATTCATCTATCCATCTATCCATCCATGTATCCATCCATCCATCTGTCCATCCATCCATCCTTCCAGCTATCCATATATCCACCCACCGATCCTTCTACCTACCAATCTTATCCATCCATCCACCCATCCATCCATTCATCCATCCATCCTTCTGTCAATTCACCCACCCACCCATCCTTCCACCCACCCATGCTTATATTCATCTACCCAGCCACCAATCCTTCTATCCATCCATCCATCCATCCATCCATCCTCCACCCATCTTTCTTTCCTTCCAGCTATCTACCCACACATCCTTCCACTTACCAATCCTACCCATCCACTCATTCTTTTTTTTTTTTTTTTGAGATGGAGTTTTGCTCTTGTTGCCCAGGCTGGAGTACAACGTGCAATGGGGCAATCTTGGCCCACTGCAACCTCTGCCTCCTGGGTTCAAGCGATTCTCCTAACTTAGCCTCCCAAGTAGTTGGGATTACAGGTATGCACCACCATGCCCAATTGATTTTTTTTTTTTTTTGTATTTTTAGTAGAGGTGGGGTTTCACCATGTTGGCCAGGTTTCACCATGTTGGCAGAACTCCTGACCTCAGGTGATCCACCTGCCTCGGTCTCCCAATGTGCTGGGATTACAGGCTTGAGCCACCGTGCCCAGCCCATCCACCCATTCTTCTACCTACACATCCACCCATCCATCTATCCACCGACCCACCCATTCTTCCACAGCCATCTATCCACTCATCCTTCTACCTACCCATCCTCCCATCCATTCATCCAGCCAGCCATCCTTCTATTTATCCACCCACTCATTCTTCTATCCACCCATCCTTCTATTTATCCATCCATCCAGCCATCCTTCTACCTACACATCCATCCATCCACCCATCCATTCATCCATTCATTCATACATCCTTCCAGCTATCCATCTATCCACCCATCCGTTATTTCAACTACCAATCCTATCCATTAATCCATCTATCCTTTTGGCCATCCATCTATCCACCCACCCATTATTCCAACTATCAATCCTATCCATTCATCCATCTATCCTTTTAGCCATCCATCTATCCCTCCACCCATTCTTCTACATACCCATCCAGCCATCCAGCCATCCACCTATCCATCCACCCACCCATCCATTCATCCATCCACCCATTCTTCCAGCCTTTCATCCATGCACTGATCCCATCCATCCATTCTTCTATCCATCTACCTACCCACCCTTCCATCCACCCATCCTTCTATTCATCCATTCTATTCATCCTTCTACCTACACATCCTTCTATCTATCCATACATTCATCCTTCCAGTTGTCCATCTGTCCACCCACGCATTCTTCTACCTACCAATCCTATCCATCCATCCATGCATCCATGGATCCATGCATCCATGCATCCATCCATTCATCCATCCATCCATCCATTCATCCATAAATCCTTCCAGCTGTCCATCTATCCACCCACCCATTCTTCTACCAACCAATCATATCCATCTATCCATGCATCCATCCATCAATCCATCCATCCATCCATCCATGCATCCATCCACTGTCCATCTGTCCGTCCGTCCATCCATCCATCCATGCATCCATCCATCCATCCATGCATCTATTCATCCATCCATTCATCCATCCATCCATCCATCCATGCATCTATTCATCCATCCATTCATCCATCCATCCATCCATCCACCCATCCATGCATCTATCCATCCACCCATCCATCATTCATCCATCCATCCAATTATCCTTCCAGCTGTCTATCTATCCACCCACCCATTCTACCTACCAACTATATCCATCCATCCATATATCCATGCATTCATCCATGCATCCATCCATGCATCCATCCATCCGTCCATCCATCCATACATCCATCCATCCATCCTTCCAGGCATCTATCTATCCACCTATATTCCTACCTACCAATACTATCCATCCATCCACCCATCCATCCATCCTTCCAGCCAGCCATCTATCCCTCACCCATCCTTCTGCCTACCAATTCTTCTATCCACCAATCCATTAATACATCCATCCATCCATCCATCCATCCACCATCCTTCCATCCACCCGTCATTCCATACTGTCGATGTGTACCAGGGACGTGTAATGTGGAAGCCACAGTTCCCACAGCCGCTGCTCTGTCCAGTGATGGGACAGTCACAGAAACATAACCAGAGCCCTGTGGCAAGCACAGCTTAGAGCCAAGCACTAGGCAATCTGGGAGTCCGAAGGAGGACCTCACCAGGCAGGGGTTAGAAGCTAGGAAGCCATCCTGGAATAGGAAACACCAAGATTGAATTGAAAGGATAAGTGAGTGTTGGACAGAGTTCTAGGTGGCAGAGGAGTGTGTGCAAAAGCCCAGAGGCTTCACTCTTCAGGGTGTGGAGCTGTGGAAGGTGAGGTGTGGGTATGAGTTGGGGCAGGGAAAAGGGGGTTTCTGACCATGGAGGAACCGCAGAGCCACAGCTTGAGAAGTGTGGAGCCAAGATCTACACACTCCACCTCTTGTGATCACCCCCGCTGGCCCTGGCTCTGCCCTCTGAGGCCCTGGGAGAACTTCCACCACCTCTTCCTCATGACAAATCCTCAAGTGCTAGAAGCCCTGGGCCCCACAGGTCCACCGAGGCTGTCCCTGGAGACTGATTTCTCAAGGGGAGACTTTACGACCTGCATGGGATTGAGAGCTGCCCCAGGACACAGGCTGGGTCAGGGGCACCCAGGTGCACACAGCTGCCCCAGCGGCTTAGCAGAGACCACTGGACCTAGAAAGCAGATGCTGGGGGGAGCATTGGACTCAGAAACTGACCGGTGGGTTTTTAGGGGTAGCTGGGGAGCACTGAAGCCTTGGGGTGAGTGGAGGCCAGGGTTTGGGGGCTGGAGTGGAATACAGTGTCCTGGTGGCCTGAGCACTGTGGATAGGTGCTCATGAGGGGAAGCCTGCTTTTCTCCCTATGCCACGACAGCCATCCTACAGGGCTGCTGTGAGGGTCAATGACAGTGCCGCCAAGCACTAGCTTAGGTGGTTTTATTTGATCTCCACAGCAGCCCCCATCTTGCAGATGAAGAAACTGAGGCTCAGAGAGGTTACACATAGCCACTGGGAAACAGAGAGCTGTAATGTAAACCCAGGTCCAGTCCGACGAAGGTCCCAAAGGCTCCCCCGAGCACTTTTCCTCGAAGTTACACTCACTCTTGGTTTAGAGCCGTGGCTCTGAAGTTCTTGACATGGAGGAGGCTGCATTTATGGGGCCTGCACATCTTCCCACATACGTGGCTTTCTCACATACCTTTGGCTCAGTCCTGAGGAAAACAACAAACCTTCATTTGCAAAACACCTGAGAGTTTAAACTTGCCTTTGGTTTTAAATCTTTTTTTTTTTTTTTGAGATGGAGTTTTGCTCTTGTTGCCCAGGCTGGAGCGCAGTGGCATGATCTTGGCTCGCTACAACCTCTGCCTTCCAGGTTCAAGCAATTCTGCCTCAGCCTCCTGAGTAGCTGGGATTACAGGCATGCACCACCATGCCCGGTTAATTTTGTATTTTTAGTAGAGACGGGCTTTCACCATGTTGGACAAGCTGGTTTCGAACTCCTGACCTCAAGTGATCCACCCGCCTCGGCCTCCCAAAATGCTGGGATTACAGGCGTGAGCCACTGCGCC